ACAAAATGAAGTGAAAATTACTCGATGAGAAGACAAAACGACAAATTGTCAATATAACGAACGTATTGTGCATCAATTTCGAGTAGTTCAGCGAGTTGCTTCAGCCCATTTACGGGTTTGCGTTCTAATGAAACCGTATCGATGAGACGTTTGAAACAAATAAATGATAGTGGTAATATATGTTTACTATCATTGTTGCTACTATCAATATCCTTAATATTAAGGTTGCCACTGTTGGTATTATTCAACACATTGAACCAACTGATTGCATCGAAATTATCGAAGCAATTTCGCCAACTCGACGGTAAACGTGTCCAGTGATCATCAACAAAAAAATCAATCATGTATAAGTCTGCGATCCATCCGTATTGCTCCAATAATCTCTCTTTCGTCTTCATTGTTATCTCAATGTCAGGTCGTTCATGTTTAACCATACCTCATCAATCGCTCTCAACAGAGGAACATATGAAACAATTAATAGTTTAACAAAACGAACATTTTACAAATACAATGGAGCATCGCGCGAAATAGGTTAGAAAAACAATAAATTACGAGTTTATGTCCCTCTTTACGAGTTTATACCNCGCGCGAAATAGGTTAGAAAAACAATAAATTACGAGTTTATGTCCCTCTTTACGAGTTTATACCAATATCACATTCTAGTATCCTTCTTTCCGCGCAGCTAACAACAACAGCATTGGAAATTATCACTCTTCATCAAATTCTAAATTAGAATTTGATATATTTAGCGATCGTAGTGATTTCGGGCTAATCTCCCTTACTGCCCAATGACTGCTAGGGAGATCTATATTGTCGTAAGTTAAGGATAAAAAATTAACATTGGACATTGTGTTAATTAAGATTGGATCGGATAAAACCATTGGATTAATCTGTCTTTGAATTACACGAATGATTGCACTTATCAAGTTTTAAAGATTGAAAAAGAAAGTGATTTGTTAGCAGGCGATTTCAACAATAAACTTCATTCACAACATTTTGCTCTCAATCAGTAGTGTCAATGGAGTCAACCGATTAGAGTTGTCATACAGTCAATAGTTTCACATTATTGATCAAAATCACATGAGTTCACGTATGATCACATCTACATTTTGATGTGCTGATGAGAATAAATTCGAAGACATCTTAAACGATCACAAATCAATTCACACTAGCATTCGGATCATGGGACCTACTGTATCTACCATAATGAAGAGATAGATCTTAAGAATATCATTCTAGGCGTTTGAATAACTTGAGGAAAATCAAACGATAATACAACTCCATTGGTGTGACTAAACTGTTACTCATTCTTTATGCCAATCCATACACCATACCAATTTTTTGCCTAATGATGCCTATTTCGAATTATGAAACAAATTTCAAATCATTGCGAATTCGCTTCGACTAAATCTGTTTAATACACATATCTCACGTCGATAGCTCAAACGATGCTTTCACCTTAAAAAATGAACTGATTAATCAGATCGAAAAAGTTTTTCGGGAAGAAACAAAAATTT